TAACCCAAAAGAATGATATCTAAGCACCTTAAATACATTACAGATGCTACAGAAAAAAATCATGGAAAATACAGACAGAGCTATAAAATAATTGAAGAACAAACTGACAAAATGAAAAATTATACTCCACAAAAATACAGCAAATATAAGTCTAGATGCTTCCTGGTATGATTTCAGAACAGATAATGTATTGAAGGGGAAAAAAGTACAATTGGATCAATGAAAGATCAATTTAATGAATTTGAAGAAAAAGTTCTCAATATGAATCTGCTAGAAGAACTATCAAAAAAACTAAACAAAACAAAAACAACCTAAGATTTATGTGGCATCAAGAAGAATAAGTTACATGTGAACACAATTCCAGAAAGGGGAGAGAGTGAACACAATTCCAGAAAGGGGAGAGACTAAAAGAAGCACAGAAAAAAAATTCCAAAGATTTGTCAGGAGAAAACTTCTTTAATGTCATGAAAAAAAACAAAATATATTTATACAGGAGGCTCCAAAATCCAAACAATATATGCCACAAAAGAAAATCAGTAAGCCATAAAAGTGAGCTTAAATGTCATGGAAAATCGCACTATCTTTTCATTCCATTGTCCATGAACTTTTGGAAGTGATCATCAAACTTCCAAAAAACCAAAGAAAAAGAAAATCCCTTGAAAGCAGCTCAAGAAAAGAGAAAAGTTACCTATAAAGGAGAATCAACTGATTTCTTAGCAGAAACCATTTAGGCCAGAAGGAAATAGTAGAACATATATACAACTCTGGGGGAAAAAATTGCCAACCAAGAATTATGTACCCCCCAAAAACAGTCCCCGACATGTGGCAGCAAGATGAGGACATTTCCAGATCAAGAGAAACTTCAGAAATTTGTGAAAAACAGAGCAGCCTTACAGGACAAACCAAAGGGCCCCCATGGAGCAGAAAATCAACAAAAACAAACAAATTAAAATTAGTGTGTATGACAACATCACACAGGGGTCAACCCAGATATAGAAGTATACGGAGTAAAACAAACCTAGGAGACTGAAAATAGAGAAACAGAGCAAAAAGGCCTCACAGGATAAAAGAAATACTAAAGACTTAAGCAGAAAATAGAAACACAACAGACGAATCTGCAAGGCGTTCTTTGAAAGAGAACGGCACAATCAGCAAACCAGGGGCAAATCTAATGGCAGAAGATGAACATAACATGAATTAGAAATAAGAGAAATGGTATCTCAACAGAACCAAGTGAAATAAAAAGGATAATAATAGGATATTGTGAAGAATTTCACTCCAACCAATTTTAAAATCTAGAAGAAATGAGTAAGTTTCTAGAAACACCCTAACCTACCTAACCTAACACAAATTGAGGTAGAAAATTTGAACAGTTTCATCACAAAAAAAGACAACATTGTAAAAATGACAATACTACCCAATATGATCTACAGATATAATAAAATTATGCTCAGATTTTTACATCACTCCTTAAAAAAGTTTTTTAAAACCTTCAACTTTATATGGAAAGGAAAGAGGGAGGTCCCGCTAAGCAAAGCACTACTAAAGAAGAACAAAATAGAACTCATGTGTCCCAATCTCAAAAACTACTTCATAGCCAGAGTAGTCAAAGCAGCCAGGTACCGATACGACAGCCACACAGACCAGTGAAACAGAACTGAGAACACTGAAATAAATCCATCCCCCTGTGGACAGCTGATAGGACCGATAAAACAAACTTCATTAAGTAGGGAAGCACTCCCAAGGCTCCTTGAACAGTGATCAGAAGGACCGAATGAAATATATTTGAATGAAGCTGGTTCTGCGCTCTAGATAGGAGTTCAGTGTGACGGCAGGAAGAAAAGAGATCGGAGGACAAATAAAAGGTGTTACTTTAGAAGACTAAAGAAATATGATGTAACAACAAATAAACTGATACTACAAAAGAAATGTACATTTTTAACATTTGGGGATTTTTTTCTGTTTTCTAGAGCTACTTGACAAATATTTTAAATAATAATATCTTATATGCTTCCTTGTTGATTTCAACAAAATCCATTTGTTATTCCCTGCATCTTGGGTGGTTAATTTTTGCCATTTACTTTCAGGATGGTTATGGATGTATATTAATTAATTCTTGCACTTTGTAATCTGTTTTCCCCATGTTGTTTATAGTTTCTTTTTTTCATATATTTTTGTATTAAAAGTTTTTTTCCCCCTTAAAAAAAAAAAGTAGGGAAGAACAAGTCTTTTTAATAAATAGTATTGAAAAACTTGAATGTCCATTTGTAGAGAAAAGTGAAACAGGACACATATATCACATCATATTTTTTAAAAAGGAACTCAAGATAGATCAAGACCTAAATGTAAAACTTAGACCTACAAAGAACATCAAAGAAATATAGAGACAAACATAGAGGCCCTGATACGTGACATCAGTTCACTGTCAAACATAACTGAACACACGCACACAACAGAAGACAAACTAGGTTATGAACGACTGAAAATTAAATACTTACATGCATCAAAAAAATTCACCAAACGAGTCAAATTGCCAATGATAAATAGGACAAGGAACTTATCTCTAAACTTCATAGAAAATGTCAACACTTCTATAAGAAAAAGACAAATAACTCACAGATGGCAGGTGGGGAGAAGTCACAGAGGAGAGTGTAGACAAGTGTTAACTTGGGTGAAGATAGTAAACAGTAATGAGAAAGGTCAGCAAAAATGATGGAAGGAGAGGCACACACTAGCAGGAGTGTCAGAGTTAAAAGCCGATCCCCCTGCAGTCATGATGAATAAGTAGATGTATGGATGAACACTTAGAGCTAGACAGGGAAGGAAAGTGGGAGAATGCCTACCTGTTTATAAAAGTGTGACTGCGGATATTGTACATGGATACTTACAACTATATCCATGAATGTGGTAGGCTGTCCAAGAGAAAAAGTTATGAAACCGGATAAGACATACTGAAACACCTGGTGGGAATGGGTCACTGGGTCTGGGGGCACAGAACCATCGTCTCGGGGGACACCAAATTCAACTGGAGTAGCATGGTCCACAAAGACAAGGTTCCACGCCCTCCTTTGGTGTCCTACTAGAGCCTTTTAAGATGTAAGAAGAGTGAAGAAAATCAGAAATACATGAAAACAATTAGTCTGACAGATGACTTAGAACATGTGACCATCAACTTCCATGGTCCTGATACCAGGAGAACTCCAACAATTGCTGTGAAAGGGATCACATTAGTGGATCCTAGAGTGAAAGAAAAATGTGCAAAACACCCACAAAGTCATCAAAAAAGACCAGGTCTGTAGGTTGGCTTAACAGGCGGTGATGTAGTGATTACACTTTGGGCTGCTATCTAAATGCTTGGCAGTTCAAATCACCAGCCTCTCCACAGAAGAAAGACAAGGCTTTCTACCCCCATAATCAGTTAATCTCAATAACCCACAGTTAGTCACTGTGTGTTGGCAACAATGAGATGGCAGTGAGTTTGGAGCTGATCAGTCGATGGAGATTAGTAGGACCTCAAGGCTGTGCCCTTTGTCTCCCTCCATAGCTGGAATTTAACTCACCTGGTGACTCACTTTTCAACCAAATGGGTCAAGCTACAAGGGAAACCATACCACTAGAAAGTAATCAGCCATTGAAAGATTTATCTAAGGACAAAATTCGAAAGGGTTAAGGAGAGGTGGAAAAAGGGAAATAGAGGAAGGAAGTGGACCAGGTGATATTACTTTGTAGAGAGAGCAATCAATGACATGAAATAAAATGTGTATGAATTATTGGATTGGATAGAAAGAGGATTTACTCTGCAAACCTTTACCCAATTCACAACAAAAAGATTTAAATAATAATGTCTGTTCTAGATACAAAATAAACTGTAAGCCAAGTCAGTAGCAGAGAAATGCCTGATTGGCTCCCAATTTTATTACCAACCAGCTGTGTAGTCTGTGCTTGAACAAATTCTACATCGCCCTGTGCCTCAATGTCCCCCATGCATAAACCGAGGAAAAGCCTTAGTACCTGTCTCTTAGGATTAATGGGATGAATGAATCTTTTAAAAGAACCTTCAGGGACTATCAAGGAGACTGCTAACTTGCAAGGTCTGAAGTAAAACCTACCAGCCACTCTGGGAGAAAGACGAGACTTTATGAGTTGGGTTTGGGTAACTATTTGAATAGATGCAGCATTTGGAATGGTGTCTCTGCCGCAGTAGGAATGCAGTATAGTAAGATGTCATTATTATCATAACATCGTTATATCATATTATTATTTTTGCTATTACTATTTTACACTGTCCATTATTATCTGTAAGGCATCTTGTTGGTGCAGTAGGTTAAGATTTGGGCTACCAACTGCCAGGTCAGCAGTTCAAATTCACCCACTACAGGAGAAAGGTGGTGCTGTCTGCTCCCACGAAGACTTATAGTCACAGAAACCCTGACGTTCCATTATGTCCTATTTGCTTTGTGTCAGGGTTGACTGGCAGTGGGTTTGAATTGATTTCAGTTTTTTAGTGGTCCGTGGGCATCTTTGTCACAATTGAAACAAAGAGGTTAGGAAATGATATAGGTATGTGTGGACTGTTGTACGAATGCGCCTAAATTGTAACAGACATGTTGGCAACCCAAGGGAATGGTGCCCGTGAATGAGTGCTATCTCACTGAGACACATAGCTGTTGTCCGAGAGGAGTGGGTGCACTTACTTTAAGGTAGGACATTACTCAAGTCCATTTGGGCAGGGTGCTTTTTTGAACCAGTAGATAAACCACAAACTGAAAGCCACCTTAGAAACTTACATTTGAATACCCTCCTCATCCCTAATTTTTATCAAAGAACCAAAACTGAAAAAAAGACTTCCTTCCACCTTGTCAGACACTTGAATTCACAAGTTTCCTGTTCAGTTATAACCATAAGACTTGGGTATTTGCATTGAAAGGACTATCTACATTGTTTCAAACGTAAGGCTGGGGTGATGACAGACACCGTATTACAATGCATAGTTTGTCATTTTTCCAGCACAATCGCCATAACTGAAGCTTACCATAAGCCTGAGGGGGTTGGGATGAGCTCTCCCGGCTGATACACGCTGCCCCTGTAGTGGCACCGACAGTGGAAGCTACAGGAAACGGAAAGGAAGGAGCCCATTAACAACATAAAGCATACATTTAATTTTTACAAAAAGGCCTAAAAATTCAAGCACACCCCAAGCTTTGTTATGATGGTTTTAGGCTGCACTTTAATCTCGACAGCATCCTATAAAAATGCATGCAGCTCTGTATGAAAAATGGCAGAAAGTGTTTAAATATGAAGTCTCATGTGGCTTAAGACTTTGTTTTCCAGAATGCATTTTACAGATTATGCTGCTCTGGTCACAAGAAATGTCTCCAGGGGCAGTTCAGAGAAATACAAGGATATGTCTAAGAAAAGCATTTTCATCTCATGGGAGATTTGAGAAATTTTTGAGTGTAGACAAATGTTCTATCTTGCTATGAAAATTTTTCACACGACAGTGAAACATAAAACTTGTTATTAATTTTGATTTCGCAAAAGCAGCTAGGAATAAACATCAGGGTTAACCATTAGACTCTTCGGGGTTTTGTTTTGGTTTTTTCTTTCTTTCCGTAGCTATTTTTTAATGTATATAGCATTATTAAAAAAATAATAATAAGACAAGCAACTAAGATGTACAAATAGAAAGTTATGTAAAGAAGCAAGTATGGGAGACTGTTGAACACATGAAAGGAAAGCAGAAGTCAAAGACTAGGTGTTTCCACCCCAGGTCTGTGACTTACATGGGCACACAAAAACTCAGTGTTTCTTCATAGTATTTGCCTTCGGGACAGTTACAGCCTTCGGCACAGTCGTCATCGCATTGCTCCAGAGAGGAGAGGGTCGTGCAGGAGCGACGGCAGAAGGAGGAGCAGTGATGGTAGAGCATGCCTTTCTGACACACCACAGCTACGAGACAAGGAGCATGGTACTGTGAGAGACGTCCCCAGAGGAGAACCATTATCGCTCCTTGATCATAGGTCTACGACAGACATAAATCATGGAAAACATGACCCCTACTCTAATCAGCAGAGGACATGTCAGAATCCTAGAAGAAAATTACCAAACAACCAATTCTCTGCCAAACTAGAACTATTGCCAAAAAAATTAAAACCTTCTCTTTTAAAACATGTGTGTGTCATTCCATAACACTCTTTAATAGCTCATATCATAATTTGTTGCTGCTGTTTTCCAAATAAATTTCTTGTCCTCACAGATTAAATCTACGTACTCTTATATTTCCATCTTCTCTTTTATGGCATTATTTAAACTTAAGGAAACTTTTCATATTATCAAAATAAGCTGAAGCCTACTTTCATTATCTATACTAACAGCTTTTATTTCTTGTCTCCATGATCATGTTTTTACTGCTAAAGCCTTACAGTTTCTCTTCAGAAGCTTACCTGATCACAGTAGTTATTTTAAAGTGCACTTGCTACAGGCATCTCACAAATGCTGGTTAAAAATAAATGAGTGAATATTTTACATGTAGAGTTGACTTAGTATGTAAAAAGGGATGGGGGAAGGGAGAGAATATTTGGGTGCCTAAGTAAAGAAGGAAATAAAATTCAGAGCTTTAAGTGGGAGTGGGAGAGGGAGAATTGATCCCAGTAATCGAAAATATTGAGTTTGATTCATGTGGAAATTGAACTAGAAAGTTAGTCTTGTACAAGGCAACGACCTAGGAGATGCCTGGGATAGGTTTCTGGTCAACATGGCTGAGTCAGGATTCTCAGTGGTTTGACAGCCTAGTCATCCTGCATGAAGTCACATAACACAATGTAATGGGATCTGATGCGAGTTACCAGTTGTAAGAAGGTTGGAGAGCAACCCCTTACTCAGGGCACTGCCCTGATGCAATTGAAAGGAGGTTTCCTGGGAGTAGGGGTGGGGTGGGTGTTAATTCTTATGTAAGAGGACACTTTCTACAAGAAGCTTGTTTGCTTCTTGCTGGATCCTCTGTCTGGCCATCTGCCCCTGGTTCTTTGGACTTGAACCAACAGTCTGCGACATGGCCTGCCAATCCTGGGAGTCATCAATGACCTGCCACCTGACTTGCTGACCTTGGATTCATCTGCCTCTCAATTCACCAATCGGTGGCTTTCCTGCTTCATCTTCCTGCTTTCTGGTTCATCAGACGCTGCAGTTGCCTGAGTCAGGAAAAGCCTCCAGCTTAACATCTGACCCACCTATTCAAACCAGACTAGACCTATCAAGTTCACAACCGTATGAGTAGTTTCATTGATATAATATTGATATGAAAATTTCTACATATACACTACATATAAAGGAAGTTGATTATGCTTTGGGCTGCAATTGGAAAGATCAGCAGTTTAAATCCACCCGCTGCTCTGAGAAAAAAGCAGGGTTTTCTACTCTTGTTATACATTGCAGCCTTGGAAACTCACAAAGGGCAATTCTACCTTGTCCTCAGCATTGACTCAATAGCAGTGAGTTTAGTTTGGTTTTTATTTATAAACATACATATACACCACTGGTTTTGCTGCTTTAAAGAATCCAGCCCCTGAAAAAATAATGCTTAAGTTGGTTCTTGAAAGAGATTCAACTCCTATCAGTGGAATGAACTAAAGCATATATCAGCAAAGACAAAACAAAAAATTAAGCCAAATGTTAAATATGTTTGGCTTTCAGGAAATACAATCTGTCACCACTCAACTCTGTCATTGTAGCACAAAAGCAGCCAGATGTAATACAGAAACAAATGGCGAGTCTGTGTTTCAATAAAACTTTATTAATAAAAACACAGGTTGCCCAATGGTTGTATTTTCCAACCTCTGGACTAAAGGATATTTTCTCATAGTAGAGGTATAGGAATATGCCAGAATTTTTTGTCTAAATCTGCCTGGTCTGCAGTCAAATAAAGAATCTCTGAGAAATAAAACTCCCAGACTTACATGCTGCAGTTTTGGTATCTAAACTTATATTACTTTTATATTTATGTTATCTTTGTCTTAGAAAACCCCAAGCTGAGAAATTCATATCAAAACTGGCCAGTGATATCCATGGAATACCTGATAAAAAGCTTTGTTACAACACTGCATGATAAAGAGTGGGTAAAAGGATGCTCCAAGAACCATGGACACCAAAAATTCTAATCAAAAAATAAATGCTGTACTGAAGATTAGTTCATAAAAAAAAAATTATACAACACATGAGGAAATACTGTATCATGAATCAGTCAGTAGATACAGTACCCTTTAGGAGTTTGAAATACTTGTCCTTTGTATAACTTACCAGCATAACTACAAGTAAATGTACAACTGTATCATATAATAATCTTCTACAATTCCCAATAATTAGCTATGACATTTCCATGACAAGAATTTTTTACACCAACCTGTTCCTGCTATATATTTCAACACATATAACTACTCTAATTTTCTATCTTGCTAGGCTTTATGTGTACCCCAGAACTCACCACAGAAGGAAACCTGAGCTCTAAAATCGATGGAGACGCCGCGTTGGCCACAGAGGTAGGCATAGTGGGCAAGAGCATTGCACAGACAGGCACTGCCACACTTGCAGGCATCGTGTCGGCAGAGCTGGTAGTACAGTCCCGGGCTAATGTAGACATGACAAGGAGCAAAGAGCTGCTGGTGGATGACGTCGCAGTGCGCTGCGTAGCCAACTAATACACAAAGAACCTCATTAACACCGCAATCTGTAGGTCAGATCTTAAACTTATTACCATGGTTGACAACTATTTGATCCTCTTGATTTCCACGCTAACAGATTCCTTAACGTAAGAGAGGCACGCTTTCAGATTGTACAGAGTTTGGGTTTTATAATACTGGGAACATTGGTCGATAGGCCTTAGCAATACTAGAAATGTATTGTTTAGAAATATACCTGAGTAACCAAGGGCTGAGAACAGCAGTGACTTCAAATACTGTACTATCTGAGGATCATTTTAGAAAACCTGTTATAAAGTATTAGGTCAGTGGTTCTTAACCCATGAGTTACGACCCCTTTGGGGGTCGAATGACCCTTTCAAAGGGGTGGCCTAAGATCATCGAAAAACACATAAATATGTCCCAATATATAGTTACATATTGTTTTGTGATTAATCACTATACTTTAATTCTGTTTAATTATATTCAATTTGTAACAATAAAAATACATCCTGCATATCAGGTATGTACATTATGGTTCATAACTGTAGCAAAATTACAGTTATGAAGTAGCAATGAAAATAATTTTATGGCGGGGGTCACCACAACATGAAGAACTGTAGAAAGGGTGGCGGCATGGGGAAGGTTGAGTACCGCTGTGCTAGGTGGATAATCTCTAAGCACTGGAGCATGACATGAAGTGGTGCCAGATTACGGTCCTTATGGCAAATCCTTGACGCCACAAGGAATCAGGAAGAATTAGGAGTAGCACCATTCCAATGGCGTCTCTGAAGTAAATGTAGTAGTATTGTGGCAGACACTGGCTCAATGCCAGGTAGATACCAAGTAGTCATTAAACAATACCACACCCCTATTGGGAGCTCAAAATCGTTTGGTAAATTAGCCGAGAATTCATGAATAAATGCATAATAACTAGGGTCTCAGCATTGGAACGTAGGTTAAAGTCCAGGAGATACCAGTTGTCAAAGTGTTGTGAGGCCTGTGTAATCACTTCTTAAAATGTGTTGGAGATGCCTTTGAGAATACTGATGCCTTATGATACTGACCAGGTTTGAATCTTGATCCCAATCTAGATGACTTAGAGGTTTTGTTAACCACAAATATTCCTACTGGCATGAAATAAGAATAGGCAAGAAGACACCTGAATGAAAAAAAATATTGCTCAAAGCCCACATCAGGGTTATTACATTTTTCTCTACTTACTTTCCTTTTTGTAAATTTTTCTGAATTTGTTCACTTGGAAATTTTAAAAGAAAACAAATCATGGCACAAGTGAAGAGTGTACTATCTGAATTATTGCATACGAGATTTAGGCTATGTAAGAAAAACTCGTGTCCTCGAAAAGTCCATTGCTATCAAATCGATTCTGACTCATAGTGACTTATACAGGGTTTAGGGAACACGAAATCTTCAAGAGAGCAGTCTCATCTTGAGATTGGCAGGCCAACAGCTAATCCATAACAGCACCAGGGCCCTTATGGACGAATAAAGGCAGCAAAGTACAGAGACCAAGAGAAAATAATTAATTGGGCCATTTTCCAACTTTTGTATGGTATTTCTTTAAGTTATTATAATATCAAAGTGGGAAATGAGGGAATTTGAGACAAACTAAACAAGATTAATTGACGGACAGCTAGTGAGAACCCAGCTCATGAGATTAAAAGTATTAAATCATAGACAGATTTAGTCAAGGATTTTTAGTATAGATAAGAAAAATGGCTAAGAAGGTTATCTGTCTTGTGTTCTTTATAGTACTCAAACCTATAAGTTGATGATTTTTATCATCTGGCAATCCACTTAAGCCTCCCAAAATTCACTTTTAAATTTGTACTGATTTCTATTATTAGCAATTTATTTATAAAACTACATAAAAACAGAAAGGAACATTATTTAATTAGACCCAGTATTTTATTAGGTTAAATATTTAATTAAGGAAAAATCAAAATTAAAATATATTTAAATATTCACTCTTGTTTTTTCCAGAGTGATTCTGAAGAAGAATGTAAAGCAAACCAAAACCCCTTAAGCCCTTCTTCATTGAGCAATACGTTTGCTGTGTCTTTAGTAAAATATGGCTAAGTTCCTGGCTTGTGGGTTGCACTGTGATTGCATATTGGACGGAACATGACCATCTCAAATTGCTGCCAACTTGATGACATGATATTTTCCTGAATCACTGGGCTCTTGCTATGATTCTACAATGTGTGAAATCACTAGAAACTTATAATATGAGGGTAATAAATGTTAGAAGTCACATGGGTTATCACCCTGTAAAACAAAAGCTAATAATCTATAACTGTAACACATTTGGTAATTTCCAAAGAGTTTTCTTTAATGTAAAGAATTTGAACGCATTATAAGAATCTAGGCCCCATCTCACAAGAGAAAGATAGGGCTTTGTATGCCCTTAAAAAGTTGCAGTCTCAATGTTTTGAGCGTGACGAGGGCAATGAATGTACAAATGTGCTTTACACATTGATGTATGTATGGATTGTGATAAGAGTCGTATGAGCCCCTAATAAAACGATTAAAAGAAAAGTTGCAGTCTCAGAAACGTGTAGGGTAGTTCCATGCTGTCCTACAGAGTCTCTGTGAGTCAGCATCACCTTAATGGTGGTGAGTTCAGTTGAGTTGTTGGGGCCACATTTGGGGAAATGAGATTTCTGAATATCAAAAGGATATTTATGAATGAAAGATAATACATAAAATAGTCACTTTCAGGATTTCTTTTTTTAAGAGCCTAGGTTACACAAAACCTACTTCCAGCAAAGTAATTCCAACTCAAAGTGGCCCAAGGATCCAGAAGTGCTCCATAGAGTTTCCCAGACTGTAGATCCTTCCAGAAGCAAACCACCTCATGTCATCCCAACACTAGCAAGTAAGTTTGAAACATAAACCTGGTGGTTAGCAGCCCCCCACACAGCACAGCGCTCCACCAAGGTTCCCTCGGATTCCATAAAAAGGCATTCCTCAAGGCATGCTTTCGCATGCATTTACATGAGGAACAGCGCGGACTTTATCATGATGATGAAACCCAGATTTTAAAATGACTATTTCATTGACAGAAGTAAAGTAATAACTAGAACGTTCCCCTAAATGTTCATGTAAAAGACAAAACTTACTGTTTTGTTGATTAATGGTACAGGGGTCCACCATGGGGACATGAACAGGTGCAAAACAAGTGGAGGAGACCCTCCAGGCATTTGCATGGAGCTGTGGCGTACCTTCTATCATGCCTGATGGAGACCTAGGAAGCAAAAATAATGTTCATCTGAGTTTCTCTCCGGGATCCCTTTCATTTTTTTGTTTAACTCTTCTCCAGAATTTGAAAGAGTGCTATCATTTTCATTTATAAAGAAACCTTAGGGCTGTACATGTTCTACCAGTTCAAAGAAAGACATATGGCATTCGACTTCCTGCTACTAGGACTGTATAATGTGCCAACCTGTGGACACACATGCCATATTTCATCATTTCAGTTCAACAAAGAAAGAATCACTGTCTCCATTTTGCAGAAAAAAATTAGTTTTCACAGTGCATTTCAGAGCCAGAATTCAAATCCAGTTTGCACTACTGTAATAAACAAAAAAGACTCAGGCAACCCAAATGTTAATGTATGTATGTAATTCCAGGGCATATGAGGAGCAAAATTGGATAGTTCACATGATTCTTTTCATGGTAAAGATCTGTGTCTCAAAGAATAAAAGTCTATCTATCTGGATTACCATTGCTGTCTATCAGTTGGTCATACGATGGCGGTTTGCTTGTTGCTGTGCTGCAGGAAGCTAGGCTACCAGAGTTTCAAGTATCAACAGGGTCATCCAGGGTGACCACATAAGAACAAACTAGGATGTAGTAGTAGGCAATCCATTTCTGAAAACCTGCCAAAAACTCTAGAACATTGTCTGTTAAAATGCCAGAAGATGAGCCCCTCAGAACAGAAGGCACTCAGGATATGACTGGGGACTAGTTCCCTCTACAAGTAAAAACGTGGGTGAAGCAAACCCTTCAGGAGCTCCATTTGCTGAGGGGACACAAATCAAAATGAAATGAAGTAGCTAAAATAGCCATTAAAAATTGTAAGGTTTAACTTACAAATTATGAATCTAGGGGAACTGGCTATTGTCAAAAGTGAAATGGAACGTATGAAGAACAATATCCCAGGCCTTATGAGCTGAAATGGCCTGGTGCTGACGATGTAGACTCAGACAAGCATGATTTACTATGTTGAGAATTACAAGTTCAAGAGGAATGGCATTGCATTTATTATCAAAAAGAGCACTTCAAGATCTATCTTGTAGTACTATGCTTTCTGTGGTAAGATAATATTTATATGCCTACAAGAAAGACTAGCTAATGCAACTCTAATTCAAATTTAGACACCAACCACTAAAGCTGGTGATAGAGAAATTAATGAAATCTCTCTTTTTTATTTTCAGTTTTAAGTTGATCAAACATGCAATCAAGGTGCATTGATAATTACTGGTTATTGGAATGTGGACGATAAAAACATAGTTGGACAATATGGACTCAGCCATGGAATTAAGGCTGGAGATATCATCATAGAACTGTGCTCCACAAACAACTTCACTGCAAACCGAAGCCTGCTGAGTCGTGGGATAATATGAAGAGCATCATGCGTGAGGAAATCAAAAGGTCATAAGAAGACAAGAAAGAAATGGCCAAAGTGGATGCCAGGAGATAGCACATAAAACAAATGGAAGAAATGATGAAGTAAAATTGCTGAGCAGAAAATTTCAATGAACCACTTGAGAAGATAAAATATGGTAATGAAATGTGCAAAGAACTGGGTTAGAAAAACAAAAGGGAAGAACTCATTTAGCATGTATTAAACTAAAAGAACAGAAGAAAAATATAAGCCTTCAACTGCAACATTGAAGAATTCTATCAGCAAATTATAGAATGATGCAGGAAGCATTGCCCCGGAGGGACATGGGAGTGTGGGAGGTAGGGGAAGGAAGGAGGGGTTGGCCAACCTAGGGACAAGGGAACAACAAATGGTTCAAAA